AAACCTTCCACTCAGTTCCCAGCTGGTCTTACATATATCTGGGTAATTGCAAGCAGAACTGCAGCTCATACACACTTCATTTCCCAACTTTTGTGGCAAGACAAAACCTGCTCTGGACCCTGGTACCAAGGTTCAAGAGGCAGGTCAGTATGGGTGGCTGCAGACCAGCCTGACGGATCCAAATGCCTTCCTTGCTGGCCAGATGAGCTGAGTGGAGTAGAAGTTACAGATCCACTTGCCTGAACTAATATGTGGTTTTCTGGTAGTATTTGTGGGTTGGTTTGTGGGCACAGCTCCAGCTGAGCCCACAGTTCTGTCCAGCTTGTGGTTAGAGGATTTTCCTCGCTCTCCGGTAGACTTGTGCTAATAACACACAATCTTGGGTCTATTCTCATTAAAGCTACAGATTTTTCTCAGTAATCCAAAGGTAAGCATTGAAATCACAGCTGTGTGGACACTGGTGTTTGGACACTGGTGAGCTTGGAGGGAGCAGGTTGGATGCTTTGGTTTTTGCTCAGTCCCTGTGTTGTACTATCTGCAGCATCCCCCACCTCCCTGCACTTACCCTAGGCACTCAGTGTCTGCCAGTCCTTTGCAAGTGTTTTTTTAAACAAACCAACACCTCTTCTCACTTCATTGAAATTCCACTGACACAGTCGAGTCCTCATCTGTGGGGCTCCCTTAATGACTTGTGTATAGCAAATGGTTCTCCCCTTTTCCAGATCTCCTATTCAGGTACTGGTGGCCACCTCTCTAAGAGCAATTCTGGCCCTGTGAGTGCTCCAGCTCCAGTGACTCTCCTGTAGCTACTCCTCATCTCCTTTCTGAGCTTATTAGAGCATCCTCATCCTTAAGGCATCTCCCCCAGCATATGCACCAGCCCCTGGGCACTGCAGAGGCATCCTGGAACTGAAAATGCAATTAAAATCTGCTTTTATCAGTTCTGGCATGGCTGTCTGTGCAACTTGACTGTCCAGGCTCAGGAAGGTTCATTTAGTTCATTTGCTGTGGTTTTAGCCATGCAGCACTCCAAAGACTTTCCTGAGCATATGTGCATTGCAAACCCCAAACATTTCAAAGGCTTCCTGCTGATTTTTGTTGGGGCAGAGGCCTGCCTATAAGGTTGCAAAGGGACTTCTGCCAACTTTTGTCATGACTCTAAAGCAGGAGTCTGCCAAAGAAAATGTAACTTCACTGATTATATTTTAGCATTGCAAAACAATTATTCACCACCAACAACTTGTTCTGAGAAACAGCTCTTTGTTTGTGGAAAACTTCAATAAAAAGAAAAATTACTATCCATAGGCAGATAAGCAAAGGGGGAGATGCCGTGGTGTGCAAATGACATTAACCAAAGCAGCAAGGAATCACTAAAACACTCTCATCAGAAGAAACCATCAGGCACCTCAGGAGTGGTGTGATGCCACCAAGCCCATCTAATGGAAAACCAACCAAGACACAGAATCATTGAATCATTTAGATTGGAAAAGACCTTTAAGATTATTGAGTCTGATCGTTAACCTAAAACTCCCCAGTCCACCATTAAACCATGTCCCCACATAGAATCATTGACTCATTCAGGCTGGGAAAGGCCTCGAAAATCGAGTCCAACAGTTAATCCAGCACTGCCATGTTCACCACTAAATTATGTCCCCAAGTGCCACATCTACACATCTTTAAATACCTCCAGGGATGGTGACTCCACCACTTCCCTGGGCAGCTGTGCCAGGGCTTGACAACGCTTCAACTGAAAAAATTCTTCCTTATATCGAAGTTAAACCTCCCCCGGCACAACTTGAAGCTGTTTCCCCTTGTCCTATCACTTGTTACCTGCAAGAAGAGCCTAGTTTCAGGGAGTTGTAGAGAGTGAGATCTCTGAGCCTCCTTTTCTCCAAGCTGAACATCCCCAGCTCCCACAGTTGCTCCTCACCAGACTTGTGCTCCAGACCCTTCCCCAGCTCTGAACACGTTCCAGCACCTCAATGTGTGTCTTGTAGTGAGGGGCCCCAAAACTGAACACAGGTTTCAAGGTGTGGCCTCACCAGTGCTGAGTTCATGGGGACAATCACTGCCCTCGTCCTGCTGGTCACACTATTGCTGGTACAAGCCAAGATGCCATTGGCCTTCCTGGCCAGCTGGGCACACACTGACTTGTATTCAGCCAGCTGTTCAACCAGCATCCACAGGTTTTCTTCCATGGGGCAGCTTTCCAGCCACTCTTCCCCCAGCCTATAGCTTTGCATGGAGTTGTGGTGACTGAAGTGCAAGATTTCACCTTATTGAATCTCATACAATTGGCCTCAGTCCATTGATCCAGCCTCTCCAGATCCCACTGCAGGGAAACCCTCAAGCCAATCAACACTCACCCAACTTGGTGACATCTGTACCAAATCATGATGCACGAAATGATAGTTCTCACAAAGACAGCATTGCTCCTGCCCCACTAAATCCATGTTGTGTCTGCCAATGCAACCAGAGCCAATGAGTCCTCCCAGCAGTGCCACATATGCTGGGACGTGCTGTCCTGCTCACTGTGTTTGTTTTAGGGGATTAGGAATGTGCCTGAACCCAAGCGCATGTTGGAAACGATGTTTCACACGCAAAGCAGGCTGGTTTGGAGGGAAATAGTTACATTTCTGTGATTAAATGAAAATAATTGGGGTTAAATGGGGAGGAAAATGAAATTTCCTTGCAATTACTTGGATTTGTTATAAGAAAAAATTACACATGTCGTCAGTTTTATCTGCT